CCGCACGCACGCCGGGGCCTGGCGCACGAAGCGGCCTGGCGAACGCACTACGCACGAGGGCCCTGGGCGTGCCGACCGCCGCTGACAGAGGGCCCACAACGAGAATGAACTATGAAGTAAAAAATATTAATTTCCCTCTTGCATGAAAGCAAATACAAGTATGTTATTCGTTCATCATATCCAAAAGAAGACAAAATTTCTTCTCCTGAGAAACCGCCCCTGCCAGAACCCAACTTCATTCGAGATGTAAATTTCGTTTGGCGCGTCTTTCAAAAATTTCAGTACTTGTCGATAAAACTGCGGATTTTTTTGAGTTCATATCGTTTCAATTGTTTTGAAAAATTGTACAATCGGTTGTAACTCATAACATTAATCTGCTAATCGACGAGTCGAATTTTCTTCGGTCTAGAATGTTTCGTCCACAAAGTATTTGGAGACTTTGTTTCTGACTGTAAAAAGTATTTCATATATTGTTATATTATAATATAGAAGTTATACGTGTGTTTAGTTAAAGACAATACCGATTATAAATCCGTGTTCAAATGAAGTCAACAAACCAAATGTTGAAATAAACCCAGTAATACATGGTCCCAGTAATATGAATTTTTTTTTCATCCATAACACAAACTACTCATATTCCGTTTTATAAACGTCCTTGGTTTTCCGGGATGTTAAGCTGTATGTTTTTTCCGCAATCTTTTTTATCTCTTCTGCTACATTTTCGCCTACATTCCCTATATCCTGGAAGTGATTCTGCGGCGGTCAAAAACAACTCAAATAATGACAAAGGAAGATCGTTTTCCCACAATGTCCGCTCTTATTACAGAGCGAGTAGAGTACTCTTATGTAGCATTATGTATTTACATAGATACATACTTGAATAATTAAAATTAGATACGAATTTAAATGTTGTATGTACCACGGGCATTAACTGGTCATTAGAACCCTTACAACGCCCTTGGTGCGTAAGCAACAATTATGGTTTTGTCAGTCTTTGAGGAACCTTTGAAGGGTGGATTTGTTATTACTAGCCAGAAAAGCTAGGAGCTCTCTCTACACTCGGGCTTCTATCATTTCGCACACAAACTGTTTCTATCCGAAACTAGAACTGCACTGTGATCTCGGTTACTAAACTATAATGTAAATGTTAGCGTAATTTTCGGTAGTATTTCTTCATTTTCCCAGCCCTGAGTAAGCAGATGGTAAACATCTGTTGAAATTGATTAATAATATTCATTTGAAGTGTGTCTTTTAAGAAGCTACTGAGTATTATAATGGTTCTTATAGTTAGAGAGACTAGATTATAGAAATTGCTAAAAATGCGAAGTGTTACCAAATGCTGAAAAATAAAATGTGTGTTTGATGGTCGGTGTAGTATATTTCTCGAAGTTTTCAACCTGCGATTAAATCCATAATCACGTACGAAGTACGAAATGGTCGTGAATCTGCGATATAATTGCTAAATTGCTTTTTATGATTTCTTTCGTTTTCTCTCCGTAACTAGGAATGCGACGTTTACAACATAGCGATATTTGAAAACGTTTAATTGGAAAGAAGCCGCGTTTATTAATTTGTACTAAAGATTTAACTGTCAAAACAAAGCAATAAATACGAGCAATTAAAAACGTGATCCTGAAAGCTGGATCGCTCAGGGTCGTCGCAAGGTGTCCCAGCTTCCTCAGTTCTCTGTGTGGGGTCACGGGAAGAGGAAGGCCTTGCGCCTAAGCACTAATCTAAGCCTTCCGCTAATCCTTGTTCGCTTTTTCCGCTTTTATTTTTGTTGAAGTTCCCAAATGGCGGAATATTAAATTACTTTCCCTTATTTCCTGATTTTAATGGGAAAATGTAAAAAAAACATCAAAATAGTGTGTTTTTTTAAAGGCCTCCCTTCTTAATAATTTTCTCAACATATGCTACACAACGATAAATTTTAACCTTTATACTGCTGTAAAATGGTTCAGCCTTGTTCTCAAAATGCGATTTTTTAAAATTTTAAGTGCTAAATTCTATAGTCACTACTTATAACACAATTAAAAAAGTCTTCGTTCAAGAGCCCTTGGTGTATAAAGAAAATGACATCCCACATAATGTATTAATCCCCTCTTAACATCATTGAAAATAAGGGGCCGTTTTCAGACATCCTTTTGCTGTACAGGACATAAATATTAAGGAAGATCCTATGATTCTTTCTGCATGTAGATGGAACTCGGATTTTGTACGTAAGGTAGCAAGTGTAAGTGCAGTGCGATGTTCCGGAAAGTGTCGGTGAGTGCGCTGCAGGCTCGGAGTTCCTGGGCGCAATTTGCCGCCCGCTCTCTCCGTGGCAACGCGCGCCAGGATTGCGGAGGCGAGGGCTTTTTCCCCTCAAGTGCGAGGCTCGTGAATGCCCGCGCGGCGTCGCTCTCGTGCTGCATCCGCCTGCGCCTGAGTCCTGCTGTTGCCCGTGTGAGCCGAGCCCGGCAGTAAAATCCATCCGTGTACGTTACCTTCCTTTTTGTTTACAACCATTGCATACGCATTGGCTCTGTATCGCATTAACAAAGCCGTGTTTAGCTAATTTCCAGGTGGAAACTGGGATATAACTATTCCTGAAAAATAACTAGACTCGTTCATTATGTCCTAAAGTCATCTTGCATATCACCGTAATTAATGGGGAAATGATTTTCAAAGATTTTTTTATGGTCTGCAATGAAGTGGAGGTTGGA